CCGGTCACAAAAAAAAAAAAAAAAAGACAAAAAAAAAAAGAACATAGAAGGCCTGAAATGTATGTGAATGCAGAAATACAGAAATGAGAGGACAGAGTTGGTGTTGCTTCTGAAATTTTATCAGAAATGAGAATCACCTGTAGGGTGTTCTATATTTGTTATAGCATAGATTCCTGGGCTTTACTCCTAGAGATAATGATTTGGTAGGTGTGGAGTGAGTCCTGAAAATGTGCATTTCTAACAGGCTCCCAGGTGATGTGATACTGCTGGTGTTTGGACTACTTTTTGGTGTGACTACCAGTATTCTAAATAATTATATCAGCCACACAACCTAATTTTTTTTTTTTTTAGTAACTGATATGTCATGGAGCCCAGTTGAGCAGTTCTGTTGTAGTCTATGAATAAAAAAGTGAATCATTTTGTAGTCTACGGCTGTACCACCCTGAACATGCCCGATCTTGTCTGATCTGTGAAGCTAAGCAGGATCAGGCCTGCACACAACCTAATGTTAACTTGTGCATCTTAACTCCAAAACAGAGGAGGTGTGGCAAGGGCCAGTTTCATAGCATTGGCTGGAGAATTCTTTTAAGATTAGAGTAATTAATCAAGATCAGTGAGTTTAAAGCCAGTTTCTAGAGTTCAGAAGTAGTCAAATTGGTTCAGTGGTTCTAAAACTTTGCTGCACATTGGAATTAAATTGAGGCTCTTTAAAAAAATACTGTTGTCTCTCTCCCACCCTCAGACTCTAATGTTTTTATTGGTATGGGATATGGCCTGGACATCAGGATTTTTAAAAGCTCCTCAGGTAATTCTAATGTGCGGCAAAGATTAGGAACCACTGAATTGATCAATGCTGTCAAATTCCTCTTGTAAAACTTCATGTGAGAAGATGCAAGTCTTTGGTAAGGTTGCGCAGGTCATCCGAATTGATGGGATCCATCCCCAACACCCATATCACCTGGTTCAGATTTCCAGGCATCCATTACAAGGTGACCTGCTTTTTCTAAAAACTATTTAAACATGTTTCAAATCAACTACTGAATTATTCTTCCGGTAGCACAGGAATTTTGTGGTGAATTTTTTTAAAGCTCACCTTAGATAATAGATTCCTTTAGTAGAAAATTTAGTAAGCAGATACCGAATCTCATCATCCCAAGCATATACAGTACTGATAGCAATTGACACTGTCCAGGCCAAGCCTTTGGAGATGCCCAACTCTGTCTTTTGGCACTGTTGTGTTCTAATGACTTCTTTGAATTCATTCAGGGACTATTAGAAGTAAAATGATCTCAAGGTCATTATCCAACTGCTCATTATATAGATGAAGACACTAGGTACGAAAGAAATTAAATAACTTTTCCAAGGCCATGCATCCAGAGTAATAATAGCTGTATAACATTTATTGAGTCCTTATTTGCCAGACTCTGGGCTAAGTACTTTAAATGGATTATCTCCTTATGTTCGTTAATCATAAACAATCCTATCAAATTGGCATTGTAACTATCCCCATTTTATAGATGAGGAAATAGAGGCTCAAAGAAGCTGAGGAATGGGGCTGTGGTTCCCCAGCTGGTAAATTAATTCCAGCAGCGTGTCTCCAGTGTCTGCTCCGTAAGCACCTGTGCTGAGCTGCCTTTGCAGTCAGTGGCAGAATTAGAGCTAGAGCCAAGGTTCTTGATTTCCCTATTACTTTTTGGTTTTGTACTATTAGTTTTTGGATCTACTAGTCTTATTCAGTTATAAAAGAAAATTAGATGAATGAAAAATGACTTTTCTGTTTGGCATTGTAATTTAATGAATTCATCACTAAAATTCTAACCACTAAATTGTATTTAAATGCAATTACGTTATTAGCAAATAATGCAGGTGTGTGTTGTATTCCTAAGTAAGACAGTAAGATTTCCTTATGACAGGCTTTTGCTTTAGGTAAGAGATACTTAATTTGATGAGGGTTTAGATAAAGTATGAGACTGTATTTATATTAAAAAAAACTAATCCGAAATCTTTTTCTAACAGTTGTTTTGGCTATAAATGTATATATTTTGGCCAGTTTCAAGCTCTAGTTCCCCATCAAGAAACAAGTGTTTAGTTTTTTAAATAACATGATTTAAACTATTAGGTGATTTAAAATGATGGAAAAGATCCTTAATTCTAGTGTAATTATATTTTATAGAATAATGTCTTATCTAAATTCACTTTTTCCTTTAATTTTGATTTTAAGGCTTTTATTAAGTTCAGAGGTTAATCAAAAGAGTTACTTTAATTTTTTTGTTAATGAAGAGATTCATAAGGACTTTTTAAATGTATGTTGTTATGTTTTCTAGATATCAATGGCCGTTTCTGAAGCTAAAGAGAAATGGAAAAGTGAGCTTGAAAATATGAAGAAAAATGTAATACCCAGTAAGGAATTGGAAGAGAAGATTCATTCTCTTCAGAAGGAACTAGAGTTAAAGAACGAGGAAATCCCTGTGGTTGTCAGGGCTGAGTTGGCTAAGGCTCGGAGTATATGGAACAAAGAAAAGCAAGAAGAAATCCACAGAATTCAAGAACAAAATGAGCAAGATTACCGGCAATTTTTAGATGATCATCGAAATAAAATTAATGAGGTGCTTGCGGCAGCTAAAGAAGACTTTATGAAACAAAAAACTGAACTACTTCTTCAGAAAGAGACAGAATTACAAACATGTCTAGACCAGAGTCATAGAGAATGGACTGTTCAGGAAGCCAGGCGGATCCAACTGGAAATCTATCAGTATGAGGAAGACATCCTAACTGTACTTGGATTTCTCTTAAGGGATACCCAAAAGGAGTACGTCGGTGGGTCAGAGGACAAGCAGCTTATGGAAATCATGTCGACCTGTTCTTCAAAATGGGTGACTGAGCAATATTGTGAAAAATTAAAGGCCTGCATAAAGAAAGCATTTCAAGATACATTTTCCCTACTTATAGAAAATGCTGACCCAGAATGGGAAAAGGTATGTTCCTGAGAGTGAAAAGAGCTATTGAACCTCAGTGATTATTGTAGAAGTTGTATATGGTATTTTTTTCTTCCTTCATTTCTTGTGTTTTTACCAGTGGTTTAAAAAACTTTTTGAAATTGAAAGGTTTGTATATTTTGTTGCCAAAAAAACTTTATTACTTCATAGTGCCACAAATATGAGGCAAAGCTTATAGCCTTTAGACATCTTTTTTTCTATAAAATGTATATTATTCTTGCAAGGGCCTGAGATTTCAGAAACTGAATAACTCATTTCTATTTTTGTCTTCTGGGCCTGACCACATCAAGAAATATGCATCATATTAAAGTAGAGTTTCTTAAAAGCTTCTAAAGGATTTGGAAGCTTATTTCTTGCCCTCAAGGAATTTATATCTCATTTAGGCAAAATATCCAACCAAGTACAAAGAATATTGATATGGAAACAAGCAAATAGAGGTATGGTTTACTCACACAGAACTCTGAAGCCCAATTTTGTTGGTGTACTATGTATGTGTGTGTATAGGTAGTTGTGGTCTTTTAGTTATGTAAGTACTCCCTGAGATGAGCTTTTGGTTTATGTGGAAGATTTGGTAAGACCAAAGTCTTGCTACTTTTTGATTAAAAAAATTAGGTATGCATGAGATATCCAGAATGATATTTTAGGTATTGTGATCAGCCAATTTCGATATTTGGAATTAGAGAAAAATTCTGATGTAAGGTTTGTCTGATACAAGTGTTGAGACAGAAGAGTTAAGGACCATCAGGATATTGTGATTAAAGGTTTTTAAGGCCAGGATTGAGCATTTAGTATTAATACTTACTGGAAAGAGTTATAAACTAGGAAGAGAATGAGAGTTCCGGTCTCACACTTGATGATAAATAGCTTATTACTCTGGGAAGTCATATACTGTAGTTGTTCATCTGAGAAAGAAAATATAAATTCCTGGCCTAATTACTTGGGTTTTGGTAGGAGATGCATGATACAGCTTGGCCTTTCTGCGTCCTGCATTTGAAACAGTACAGAATTTTAGAGCCAGAAGGAACCTGAAAGATCAGTCCACCCCATCCAGTTCACCCCAGTTGATTATTTTTATCCTTGATTTCACAAAGATGTTACTAAGTAGTTGCCTTTGATGTAAAAATAACTGAGCAAGATAATATCCCATGAATACTGCTTAATACCTTATTGAGAATTTTTGGAGAAAATAGGCAATTAAGAAGAATTTGGAGAAAACAGTTGAAGTAGAAAAATTATCTGTAGCAGGTTTTGAGGATAAGTGAAGGGAAGATCATGTTATATGCTTTCAAGTTTACTTTCCTGAAAAGTCAATCTCTGGTATAAAATAACACTTTTCTCCTACCACGTGTGTGTGTGTGTATTTCATAGATTTATAAAATCAACCCTGGAGTGTTTTTATAGGGTGTATAATTGTGCAAGCAGTATAAGATCATCTGTGTGACTTATGTGGCTCACAAGTCTAAGGAGACAGAATCACATAATCTGGCTAAGAATTTAGACTTTTGTAGCTTTTTGTTGGGTGGGTCAGATTCCATTCCTAAGAAAAGGATGGCTTTGAAATGTCTAATCTGGTATTTGTCATAGAAGTAATACTTGATCTTCTGCCATTTTTGAGCTAACTCATCTCAGGACCTTGACATAAAGCAACGGTTATGAAACAATGATTATAAATTTGCGATATAGGTGCCATAAATGTGAAGAACTATGATTTATAATTTATTAAATTTGTAGCTTTTAGAAGTGGTCATAGAAATTAAAACAGGAAAGAATTGTTTATCAGTGTATATAAGCAGGTCCTCACTAAAATAACTGAGATGATCAAAAGTTTTTTAAAGTGGAAAGGATACAATGAATGAAAAAGTTTCCAAGAAAATGAATGCCTTATCAAAATATATTAATACAACAGTTCATAATGGATGAAAGAAAACAGAAATATCAGTTGGAACAAAATTTTCAAGCAAACTTAAGGATATGTGCACTGTCTCTTTTTACCACCAAAGTCAATTTAAAACTAACACAAAAACGTTGCTGCTTTCCTACCATTTTTGCCGTCTTGGATTTTTCCTCCAGTTTTTTTTTTTTTGGTCCTTTTTGAGACTGGCCGCACTGCGGGGAGCGCACCGGTCATCCCTATATAGGATCCAAACCCGCGGTGGGAGCGCTGCTGTGCTCCCAGCGCCGCACTCTCCCGAGTGCGCCACGGGGCCAGCCCTTCCTTCAGTTTTGACTAGAAACTGGAAACATTGATTGCCTTTGTGTTCAGCTTTTATTACTGCTTTTGGTCTCAACCTCATAGCTTCTTGATTGCATGGAGTTTGCTTTTTCTCTATAATTGCTGACCTCTGCTTCTGTTCCACATTGTAGGTAGGTTTCCTGACAGTCATTTAAATGAGTTTTTTGTGATTGAAGCCAAGGCTTCTAAAATCAAGCATATATAATGGGTTTTAAGAAATTAAACAAAACTGCTTTCTGAATATCACATGGTCTGTTCCTTTGGGATTTAGTAATGTCCAGAATCTGAAAATATTGCCTTAAAAATTTGCTAATGAATTTTGTAGCTGTACTGCCTGTATCAGGGAATGGACACAAAAAGCATTCATAAGTGTTTGTGAAGAATGAAGAAATGGTCTTGTACAAGATGTTTAATTTAGCTAAGCCTCAGTTTCTGTCTTTAACTTTGAAATTCAACTCACTTTCCTTACAAGATGACAGTTGTGTTAAAGTATTTAGAAGCATATAAAATACTATATAAATTCAAAATTATTTTTACTGTAGTTATTTTCAACTTGTGGGAGGTATTATAGTTGCTAATGAATTTGACCCCTGCTGCAGTGAAAATGTTCTAGATTTTCAAGAACAATTCCAATTTCATATTCTGTGCTGTGGTTTGATCACATAAACCATTAAAAATATCTCAAATTTATGTATATAAATGTGCAAACTCTATCTCCTGTCTGTCTCACAGCAGGCCCACCAGTTCTCTGTCAAACAATATTATAATGTGGAAAATATGGTCATAAGAGACTAGTTCATAGTACAGTGACAGTATTCATGTAATAACCTATGAAAAATATTGGTGATAGTTCAGGCAAGATTTTTTTCAGGCAGTGTTTTCTTTTTGTATTTTTAATATTAACGTTTTAAATAGAAAATTGTATAAAGATTGCTACTAGGCATTAACCGTGAAGATAATTTATTTCAGAGAAATATGGCCGAGATCTCTAAGGATCCTGCCAGCGAGCACATTGGCAGAGGAGACCCTGGAGTCCCGGCAGCCCTTCATGCACCCACTTCTGGACAACACATTCAGCCCCTGGCCTTGCAAGACACAGAAGCAGAAGCAGGTAATTGGATTTTGTTCCCACCTATCTCTGTAACATCCATAATCACCATTCCAGAAGGTTGCTTTGAGGGTAAAAGGAGATTAAAGATGTGAACAGTTTTCTGAGCAAAAAATGTATAGTACTTACTGCTCTGACTTAATATATATCCTCTCCCTAAGATTTCATTTTGTATTTAGAGGACAGGGTTAAGTCTTTCTTCTTTCTGTCTTTGATGGTTTTCCCCTCCATTCACAAATGATTCCTTTTTTTTTTTTTTTTCTTTTTCACAAATGATTTTTATTACAGGGCTAATAATGAGAATTTTAATAGAGCAGTCATGTTTTCATTCCCTGACTCTTGAGAAATCAGGGCTTCATGTAAGAGAATTGCCAAATAATAGGGACTTTTTCATTCAAATTACTGAAGCTTATTTCAACCCCTTTTTAATGGGAATCTTTCTGAAGTGTATTAGATGTTTTCTAATTTATTTGGGAATTTCTTGAGGGCAGGGTCAGTGTTTTTAATCTCTTTCTCTCCGACACGTGGCAGAGTGAGTAGTATGTTGTCTGTGCCCTTGAACATTTGATGAATTAATAGTTTTTTTTTTTTTTTTTTTTTTTTTTCCATGTCCGGCACCGGATCGCAACCCTCAGTGTTGCCCCCGTACCGGACCGGGACCGGCAACGGGATCACAAGCCTCGGTGTTGCTCCCGCGCCTCGCTCAGCCAGTGAGCGGGAGCCGGTCTGTATGTGGGATCCGAACCCTCGGACGGGAGCGCCGCCGCGCTTCCCAAGCGGCGCACTATCCAGTGCGCCACCGGGCCGACCCGAATTAATAGTTTTTTCCTTAAGGGTTTAGACTTGTCATTATGAAAAAGAATTATTGTCCTATAGCCCATGGTATTTAAAGCTCATGAGGAGTATAGGGCTTATATTGCCTGTTCACTGAGATTTCTGAGCTAGGAATTGGTGAATCCTTTATTAGCTCCATCCTTTTTAGGATATTGACTTCTTGCAGTCTGCTCCTTCTCTCCACACACAAACATGCATCCTTTCTGCTGCTTACTTGCTGTTGCCATTGTAACTTGGAAAAGAACTAAGACTTACTAGGGCAAATCATATGTACTAAGTCAGTGACTTTAGTTTCCACACTTTTCTAATTCAGTAGGCAATGTTACCAGAATCTTAGAGAATCTCTCCCTGTCCTGAAAAGTCAGTCGACAGTTATTTCTCTCATTGTTCACAGACCTTCTCCCTTACTTCTAGGTTCTAAAAGGCTGACACTGTCTTATGGCCCATTAGTTGGATGGTAACACGGCCTTCATTTATATTTTGCTTCTTACTTTTTACGTTATATTTGGATTAGCCTGAGAATTATATTTTAATCTGTGAAATGGGTTGAAACAAGTTTTAGATGTTATTTGGCTTTGGGAAGTCCTGTCAATATGAAAGAAATTAGTTTGAAGACAAATCAAACGATAAAAGGATTCGTTTTACATTTTTAGCCTTTTTTTCCTTAAAAACAAACACGTTAACAAAAGAAAGGATTAAATAATCCAAAACATGTATTAAGTGATAATCCTTTATAATCCTACCACCAGAGGGTACCATTGTTGACTTGTTATATTCTTCCAATATCTTATTATTTTTTAAAATAATTTAAACATTAATTATGAAGTACTTGATACCTGCAAAGAATAAAAGTAAGATGTATATAAGTTAAGAAGCCTTAAAACCAGGACCCCACTATTCAGTTTAAGAAATAGGACATCACCAATACTGTTAACCACAGTTCCATCGCTGCAAACTTCCTTCCAACCTGAGGTAATAATATTCTTGATTTTTAAAAATTATTCTCTTGCTTTTATGTTTTGACCAAACATATATATCCTCGAAAAGTTGTTGCTTTTTTTTGTTTTGTTTTTTAACATTAGGAAGTGGCATAATATTCATTATATTCTTTGTAACTTGCTTTTTTCCACTTAACATCATGCTACTAAGATTTGTCTGTGTCAGTGTACATAGCTCAAGTTCATTCATTTTCGTTGCTATATAGTATTTCATTGCATGAATATACTATAATTGATCTATCTGTTCTCTTTTCAATGGGCATTTCCAATTTTACATGATTTCCAATTTTACAATATTGTCTTAAATGAAAAATATAAATGCAGTGTATGGTAACAGTGTGATGCTTCTTTGATCCTTTGGTGCTTATGAACATAAATGGTACCATTTAAATGGAACAAAAAAGTCAGGAGAGAGCTAAGAATAATTTGTGCCAATTTATTTATTATTCCTATTTTCTTATATCACTTATACTAGTAGTAATAATCTACCTTTTGTATCATTTTTTATATTATTTTAATTTTATTAAGTATATTATTAATGAGAATAGCTATTACTTATTGTGTGCTTGCTTTATGCCAGGTACTGTGCCAAACAGTTTTTATAGATTTATATCTCTCAATAGTTTTAAAACATTTTTTTAATTTGGAGATAATTTCAAACTTCCAAGAAAGTAGCAAAAATAAAAATAGTTGCAAAGAACACTCATATTCCTTTTAACTAGATACACCTATTGATAACATTTTACTCCATTTTGTACTCTTCTGTGTGTATGTGTATGTGAATATTTCATTTTTTTCCTGAACCATTTGAGGGTAAATTGTATACATTGTGACCTTTTATGACTAAATACTTCAGTCTGAAATTTCCAAGAAAGATATTTTCTTGCATAACCTTAGTGTACAGTATATTTAACATTAGATAAAACTATTATATCAATCTTCTGTTTGTATTGTGATTTTGTCACAATTGACCCGATAATGTCTTGTATAAAATAGCATTTTTTCCCCTCTAGTACGGGAATCTGTCTGGAGTCAGCTATTACATTTGGTGGTCGTGTGTCTTTAGCCATCTTTAATCTAGAACATTTTCACAGGCTCTGCTTGTCTTTTATGACATTGATATTTTTGAGAGAAATTTCTGCTCCCCCTCTCCAAACTTTTTTTTAACAGAATTTTTTTCATTTGGAGTCTGTCTTGTATTTCGTCATGATTAGATTCAGGTTGTGCTTTCTTGGCTAGAACACTGCATGGGTGATGTCTTATCACATCTGGAAGCACATGGTGTCCATTTGTCTGTTATTGGTGAGGTTAATTTTGATCATCTACTCAGACTGTTGTCCAGTTTCTTCCCTATATAATTACTTTGGGGTTTTTCCCCTTTGCAAGTAATAAGCAATCTGTTGGGGAGATACTTTTAAGACCATGCAAATATTCTTCTCCTCACTAAAACTTGCTCTTAGATTTGGCAATCATTGATGATTCTTGCCTTATCCAGTCTTTACTATGGTGGTTGCAAAGTTATAATTTTTCCAACTCCAGACCTCCCTCCACATTTACCAGTTGGCATCAAGAATCTTCCCCTCTCATTTGCCTTATTTATCTGTCTGTCTGACCATCCATCCCTCTACCTATTTACCAACCTTACTCCATCCATCCATCCAAATGTTCATGCATCTATCAATCTATCTGTAGAATTATTGGTATGACTCACAAATTCCTATTTTTCAGTACTTTATATCATTGCTATATTTAATCAGTGCTCAAATTGTCCTGGATACAACTAGTGGAGCCTCTTCAATCTGGCTCCTGTGTCATTATAACATGGCTGTATTTTTGAGTACTTTCTTACTTTCTGGCATAGCAAGATATTTTCATCTCGTTGTATATATACCCTTTCCTAGTACGATAGTCAGCCATTTTTTGAAGATCCCTGGCTCCTTTTAGTAGAGAACAGTATTCAATACTAAGATCTGAGCATTAGGTTTCATAGCAATTTTAAAAGTAGATGGTATTATCTAATTTTATATAATAAAAAACTAAGCCTCAGAGTGGTTAAAAATGTGCTCTGAGTCACACAGCCAGTAAGTAGTGGAAACAGGATTTCAATGCAGATGTCTCCATCTTAAGCATCAGTTATACTGTAGACTTTAGTTTTGAGTCATGTCATCTAGCCTTTTCTTCCTCCCTCCCTCCCTCCCTCCCTCTCTTTTTTCTTGCTTGCTTGCTTGCTTTTTGGTAGTTCGTAATATAAACTGATATGAAAGTTTTCTATCATTTAATTTTTACAGATAAGAAAAAGATCCTTGAAATTAAAAATTTATCCTGTGGACACTGCTTCCAAGAACTCGAAAAGGCAAAGCAGGACTGTCAAGATCTGAAAAGAAAACTGGAGAAATGCTGTAGGCATCTTCAGCATTTAGAAAGGAAGCACAAAGCTGTAGTGGAAAAAATTGGAGGTTAGCATTTTTTTTTTTTTCCTTTTTGTCTTTTTTCGTGTCCGGCAACGGATCGCAACCCTCGGTGTTGCGCCCTCACCTCGCTCAGCCAGTGAGCGGGAACCGGTCTGTATGTGGGATCCGAACCCTCGGCGGGAGCGCCACCGCGCTCCCCAGTGGCGCACTGTAGCAGTGTGCCACCGGGCCGGCCCAGGAGGTTAGCATTTAAAGTAGCTCTGCTACCAGTATCTTTGATCCTTGTTGAAATGTTGAAATGTGACATTTTAGTTAATGTATGCACTGATTTTCTTTTGGGATTAATGTAAACTAATGTTGATTTTATTTTTACTAACCAAATTATTATTACTAACCTCAAAAGAGGAACATTTCAGCTCAGATTAAAAGGTCACATTCCTCCTTTCTTGACGGAAGAGATATTGAGGGCCCAGTGAAAGTATGTGTCAAATAATATTCTAGGCACTGGGGATACAGCAGTGAATAAATCAGACAAAATCCTGGTTTTGACAGTCATTTTCCCTCCTTCAAGAAGCTTATGGTTAAGTGAGGGGAACCAAAAGGAGATTAATGAATAATTCAACACTGAGTGCTATTGGCAGTGTGTTATGTATACTTAGAAGAAAGGATGTTAACTCTGCCTCTTATTAGAGTTAAGGAAGGCTTGAGTAAGCTTTGAAAAGTGGAGGTGTTTGCCAAAGAGAAGAACGGCATTTTAGGCAGAGGGAAAAGATGTAAACAAAGGTATATGTGTTAGGTCAGGCCTCCATCCAGTCCATTCATCACAGTGCGGTCAGGGTACTCTATCGGGGTAAAGGGGTTTCTTCTGCCATTTCCCATTGCCCTTCTGAGGAAGGGAAGATCTTGGGCTTAAATGGCTACTCCCTCTTACCTTTCACTATTCACTTATACCCTGTGCTCTCTGTTCTTTACAGTTGAGATATTTCAGATTCCTGAAATGGTCATATTTTCTTTTATTGCTGAATGTTACATATGGTGTTGTCACTCTGTCTTGTACTTTACCCTACCATTTACTTTTTGGTTTAACTTTCATCCTTTAGGATTCAACTCAGAAGATGCTTCCTGTGCAAAACGCTCTTTGATTTTCCTGAGTCTGAGTTAGGTAGGCTGCTCCTGTGTAGCCCTAAAGCACTTGGATCTTTCTCTGTTACCATTCTGTATTTTAATTGTTTGGTTACTTGCCCGGTACCTTCTCCAAACTCTATGTTCCCTGAGGATAAGGAATATGTCTTGTCTTGTACATCCTTATAGTCATGGTACCTGCTACATACCAGACAATAAATGTTTGAATGAATAAAAAGCTGAATGCCAGGGTTCCAGATAATTGTGTCATCCAGAAAAGACCAGGTGTGTTCATTTATTTTCTACATTTGCCTCTGTCTCTTGCCTGGACAATGGCAGTCACCTCCTGAGTCTTTCTGCTTCCAGTCTTGCCCCCTACTCCATCCTCCACAGGGCAGCTAGAGCAACCTTTTAGAAAAGTGAACTGGATCATGACACTCTTGTTTAAAGCTCTTCCGTGGCTTGCCATGGCCCTCGGTATGAAATAAAAACACTTAATTTAACATGGTTTAAAAAGCTCCTCATGATCCAGTGCCTGCCAGCCCCTCCAGCCTTGTCTTCGCCCAGCCCTCTTATTCTCTCAGTAGAGCCATAGCATGGATTTCATTGTCTCTTGTCTCTGAGCCTCTTATCTTCTCTCATCACTTAAATATCCTGATCTCATGGCCTGGCTACTTCCTACTCATCTTTTCCCTACTGTGTAACTTCCCCAGGGAGGCTTTCCTAACCACTGCACACCTGGTTATGTCCTCCTGTTATACATTCCCCATTGTTCCTATGCTTTTTATAACATTCATCATCCTTGTAATTATTTATTTTCTGTACTCCCGTTTGGAGTGTAGACATCATGGCAACAAGGATCAGGTCCTGTCCTAGCACTTAGCACAGTACCTGGCATCACAGCACACGCTCAATAAATATTATTGACTGAGATAAGCCACCTACTACCACCTATCTACTAGGTCTGTTAGAGACAGATAACAATTACTTTTATGACCAGATACATCTTAAGAATTTTGAGATAAAAAGTTTAAGAACTACAACTCCCCTTTGTGATTACTTAGCTCTTCAGTAGAGGCCAGGACAGTAAATGAGATATTTGTCCACCTGTATATATAAGTACAATATAGCTATTGTAAAATTTGACAGAAACCAGGAAAATTTGTTTTACATAGTAAAATGACAGGGACAGTGGGGTATGATTATTATTTATGAATAATAATATTTAGCACCATACATTGTGATCATATAATAGTTATCCTACATAGTGCTTTTTGAAGCTGATACCTTCTACAATTTGTAGACTTAGAAATAATCCAAGAAAATACGTACTTCCCTCAACATGATGGGCTGATAAAAAGGGTCAGGGTCAGAAGTTAAGTCATTTAATAGTTTTTATTTAAATTTATGTCTGAATATAAATCTATTAGGTGATAATATCTTTGCTATTTTAATTGCTTCTTTTTTGTTTCTTTAATTCCATGTTCCATTCTTCTTGGTAATATTTATTGCAAAGTGATGGAGTAAGAGTGAGTGGTTTAAAAATAAATGTTATATCAACCACTAGGCGGAATAGAGTGATTTCGTTTCCCAGTTTATGGGGTGTGTTGAAGAGGTGGCGTAGCAGGGAACATGAGATGCCGTGTTCACACTGATTGAATATTGCTGTTGCCAGACCTTATATAAGGTGTTGTGTGTTTTTTTGTTTGTTTGTTTTTTATATTGTAATCTGTAAGGTAACTAACACTTTCCTCATTGTACATGTGAAAAAACCCAGGTTCAGAAAGGTTAAATAATTGGCGTTGGGTCATCCAACTGGTAAGAAGCAGAGCTAGGATTTAAACTTATGTCTCTCTGTCTCTGAAATTCATGCTCTTTCCTTTAGTCTCCTCGTCATCCTTTTTTTTTTTCCTTTTTTTGTCTTTTTTACTGACCGGTAAAGGGATCGCAACCCTCGGTGTCGCGCCCGTACCGGGGACCGGCAATGGGATCGCAACCCTCGGTGTTGCGCCCGCACTGCGCTCAGCCAGTGAGCGGGAACCGGTCTCCACATGGGATCCGAACCCTCGGCGGGAGTGCCACTGCACTCCCAAGTGGCGCACTCTCCAGTGCGCCACCGGGCCGGCCCCCTCGTCATCCTTTTAAAAGTTCTATCAGTCTATCAGTCTCTTCATCTTCCTTTTAAAAGTTTACAGAATTGAAAATCTTACATTACTTCTGAAAATGGCACCTACTTAAGGTTAATTTTCATTTTATTTTATATTGAGGTGCTTGTTCAATGATCATTTATATGAACATTAACTGTATACCAGGATCCACAGGGAACAAGGAATTAGAAAACCTAGTAGGTTTCTACAGAGCTTCAATCTAGCTGGAAACCAAAACACATGGATATGAGACCATTGGAAACCAATTTAAAGACAGTGTGTAACGCAAAGCAAGATGAAGGTGGAATATAGATTTTAAGTGCTGAGAAAACAGAACAAGGGATGGTCACACTAGGGTGTATCAGAGAATGAATGACACAGGAGAGCAACTGGAAATTACGCAGTCTCCTTTGTAAACATTTGTTGGGAACTTAAGGGAAAGGAAGACTGGAAAAAGAATTAACTGACCAATATACTGTAAACTTTCTTTCATAGAAGAGAATAGTAAAGTTGTTGAAGAATTAATAGAAGAAAACAATGACATGAAGAATAAATTGGAAGAACTGCGAATACTTTGTAAAATACCACCAAGGTAGACTTTTATTATTTTAAAGACACCATTTATTTCTAAATATCTTTAGCTTTTTAAAAGTACCAATTATTTTTCTGTTATACAGCAAAAAGTATAAAAAAGAAAAAAATCTGTCACAACCTTATCCCAGGAGATACCCTCTGTTGACCTCTCGTTTTATACCATTTAAGTCTCTGTACACACATGCCATGTGCACAATGTGTTTAAAAAATTGAGATTATTGATAAGGTATTTTGTAACCTTTTATTAATATTATTAGATAAGCATTTCCCCACTTTATTAGTTATTCTTTTACAATATGCTTTTCAATAATGGCATAAATTTTCAGATTTTGTGGGTTTACCTTTATTTATTTAAGCAACCATAACATTTAAGTTGTTTCCATTTTTCTCCTGTTTTGAATAACTATAGTGGAGATCCTTATATATGAAATTTTTAGCACGTCTTACTTCATTAGAATATGTGGATACATATATATTTTTCTAATGAAATTTTTTACTTACAATCTCTGTTTTTGCAATCTATGGTCTGTTTTTAGGTCATTGTCAGAAGGGGCCATTGAAAATGCTTGCCTGCGGTACAATGGGAGGGCCTTGGAAGAACTTCGTGGGCAGTACATTAAAGCTGTAAAAAAAATTAAGTGTAAGTCCCTAAAGAGATTCCCAAGATTTTAAGGATGGTTGGACCTTTTTTTATTGTTTTTCTTATATGTAAACTCAGAGTTTATCAGCAGTATGCTTTTAGGGAATTTTCCAAACTATCTTATTCTTTAATCTTAGAAGAGATCATTGATACCTTTTCAAAATTATGTAGTAATGGATCATTTTGCCCAAATAATCTTTTGGAAGTGACGTGAGAGAAGTGTTATTTTTATAAATGTCACATGAGTTTTAATTTAGCAATTATTACTTCCTACCATAAACTTTTAAGGACTATGGCATGGACCTAGTTAGTAGTTGTTCTGTTGTTTCTCATTATTGTTTCTCATAACTGTAAATTTGGTTATCAAGCCCCTGTCAGGACCAGGTGGTGCCAGCATACTCTGCAGAACATTCTCCTGTTGAATGTCTTCCCAATATAGAATACTTCCTGGTTTTTAATTACAAAATTGCATAGAATGGATGTATGTTCTAATACAATAACCAGTGTTTATATGGGAAATGTATATTTACTTCCTAAAATTGTATGCATTTTAAACAAAAAGAGCAGGAAAGGCCTAAAGTTCCAAATATAATTGGTAGATTGGTAGATCAATAAAGGGGATTTGTTTGTCAGTTGTTGCTGGTGCTAACAAAGGTATTTTACCACAACAAAGCAACTTTTTGTTAATAATCTACTAATTGGTAAGTGAAATTTTAAGCATTTTTTCATTCAATATAACTTGTATTAATGTGTGTGAATTGTGTTTCAGTTAATTTTAGAAAGTTAATTAGAGGTTTTGTGTTGACACGTACTGCGTTTTAATTTTTCCCATTTCAAATAATGAAAAATGGTCTCCAAGATAGTATTTTTGCATAGAACATCTACTTTTCAGATGCTTACTGACATTAAAAGGAAGATTTCTGTATGAATTGGCGTCACAAATGTAAAAGGGAGGGTGAAAATTCTAGCTGTAGGATGTAGTCCTGGATTTAGTAAAAATGTTAGCATTAGCTAATAGTAGTCCAGATCAAAACTGTGTTTAATTAAAGATAAACAGAGAACTTGAAAGCTATGAACTATATTTGTATGTAAATTTCAGGAGCCAACTATAAGTAACGTCCTCCTCACGTAGCATTTTGTATATACCTCTCGTGGATTGTAATATTAAATTTAATTAGATACTCAATAAGTGCTGCATTCAGAACTGAGTAAATAATGGAACATGAGTTTTCAGAGCATAAGAAAAGAATATGAGTTTCTCCAGCCAATATTGCCTCCTTTTCTTCTGTCTGTCAGTGTCTGCTTTTCTCTTTCTTTCTGCTTCACCCTTTCTGCATATTTCTTTTTTCCTTCTCTTAACCGGACATATTATACAACTGATTTACATAATTTTTGTGTCTCATATTTATGGTAGTTTCTTGCCTAAGTGTGTTAGAGTATGATAAAATTTCCCTGGGGAATATGCCATGTTTCCTTACCATATGTAGCTAGTATCATTCCAAAAGGACTTATAAATTACTTCTCTCATGAGTCTACCAAAATGGTGATCTGAAATATTCCATTTTACTTTTTATTTTATTTATTTTATCTTATTATTATTATTTTTTACAGCACTAGTTAAATCCTCTAGAAACTCTGAAAAAGACTTAATTTTGCTGATTTTAGTTTCCACTCGAGATATATGAGGGGTCTTCAAAAAGTTCATGGAAGGATTTGTATTATCTTTTTTTGTTTGTTTGTTTGGATTTTTATTTTTTTTATTTTTTGCAAATTCAATATTTTATTTTATTTTATTTAGTCGATATACAATGTGGTTGATTATTGTGGCCAATTACTGAAACCTCCCTTCCACCTCCCACTCCCCCCTCCCTCCCAACAATGTGCTTTCTGTATGCTTCTCAAATCAATTTCAAGGAATTGCGATTGTTATGTCTTCTCCCCACCCCCCACGCCCGATTCTGGTTTTTTGGGTTTTCTTTGGTGTGTGTGTATTTATTTATTTATTTTTAGTTCCCACAAATAAGTGAGAACATGTGATATTTCTCTTTCTGTGCCTGACTTGTTTCACTTAATATAATTCTCTCTAG